TTCCTAACTGTGAGAAAAAACTGTGGTCTATTTTAAGCAGTATCAAAAAAAGATCGTACACTCCTAGCCAAGATACTTGTAATTCAGAAAAACTGGAAACTTAAGAGCATCAAGCAATAACAGTAATTTTTGTCGACAAAAAACTGAATAAACGTGTAGTATTCAGCTTGTTTAAAGAAACTCCGAAGTAATCACCATCATATATCTGTACATTGTTACATTATGTTGGCGCAGTTCTATGTTTTGCTACGTATACTGGTGATATAAACATGCTACTCAAACTCCCTGCTTATGACTAAACACATACTTTAATTTCAGATATAAAGATATAAAGGACCTAGATATTGACACAACTAAAGTGATATTTGTGCTAATCACTATGATACCGTGTTCTGTCGACTTCCTGAGCGCTTGAGACTTGAAATCCCGTGGAAGATACATTTATACTAATAGCCTGCTGAACTTTATGAAAGATTTTTTTTAAACACAGTTTTTATGCTCGTGGTGGTGAAGATGTGACTCACTGTGATCCCAAAAAGATTATGGTTTAGGTAAATTTCTAAATACATTCGGGGTTCTTTTACACAGAAAACAATCCGAGATAAAGAGGAATAAATTAATAACTCAAGGAGGATGCAAAGTAAAAACGATAATGAAATGTAGTGATTCATCATTTTATATCTGATTATTTGGCGGCAACTATCGTCAAAAATGTGTACCTTTACATCTTCCACATAATTTGTTAGAGATAACCAGTATTCTAATCTCGCCTGGTCAAATAGTTAACTAGTTACCAGCCGGTCCTAAGCCCGGATAAAGAGGGAAGGTTGGGAATACGGCTTGCAACCCTACACCGTAAAACCAATCCAATCGCTAGAGAAACTTCAAAGCACAAAAAAATTTAAAAAACCAAAACAAACCTATTCCTCGCTGGAGTCATAGGGACGAAATGACGCCGGTTGGTGAAAGACTTCGGGAAGCCAGTTGGCCGATGTTTCTTCTCTCCATAAAAGCGAAAGTAAGAATGAGGATATGGAATGTCCGTACAATGTATGAACCTAGCAAGGCAGCCCAGATTACAAAAGAGATGAGGAAGAATGGCATAGAAGTGCTTGGAATCTGCGAGGAATCTGGAGATGCAATGGAAGTGGACTCTCCAAACTGTCAACCTGAGAGTCAATAATCTACTCGATATAATCACTCAGACAACAACCACGAGCACACTGAGTTTTGGATTGGCTCTCATGATGTCCCCTTCAAGAGTATAGAAGGCTCTCATGCAATGGGGACCAATCTCCTCCTGCAGGATCATGACAGAAAGATTCAAATCAAATGGAAGGAAAGTTACTATCATAAAATGATACGCTATGCACCTATAAATAATGCAGATGAGGAGAAGAAGAAGGAACTCTACAGAAAACTGCATTCAATACTAGACAAGACCCCACCCCAGTTGGCGACATCAAAATTCTAATGAGCAGGGCGACATGAATGGCAAACTAGGAGCAGACATCACAGGAAGAGAACTGATCACGGGTCGAGGGGCACTCGGTGAAATGAATGAGAATGGAGAACTGTTTGCAGATTTCTGCACATTCAACGATTTGGTGATTGGAGTCAGTGTGTACAAACACAAGGGTATTCACAAAGCGACATGGATTTCACCAGACACCAGGGCACACTAAAAATCAGATGGACTTGATCTCAATGTGAAGAAAGTGGAGACGCAGTCTACTCGGTACAAGATGAAGAAGAGGAGCAGATGTAGCTTCACATCACGCACTATCTAGTGGAAGGAACCTTCAAAATCAAGTTGAAAGCATTCAAACAACCTGGTGGTGATAGACCACAGTTGAAGTTGAATATGCAGAACAGAAAGTGAACTGAAGGACGAAACTACAAAGGACATTTTCACGTCAGCCATCAGAACAAATTGGGAGGCATTGAGCAATATTCCTTAAGGATCGGGTGTGGAAGAACACTTGAACTGTTTGGAAGAGATGTGGGAAGAAACCTAGATAACCGTATTAGGAAGGAAGGAAGAAGACAATGACAAGGAATGGATCTCGACGGACACATGGAAGGTGAAAGAGGATAGAGTGGAAGATGGTGAAGCAGAAGATGAAGCAGTGCAGTGCAAGGATGCACAACGAATACAAGGTATAAAACATTGTACAGAAAAGGGTGCGAGAAACGACGAAACGCATTTCTACGAGACACCTACAACTGAAGAGACCAGGCTGCTGGTTGGAGAGATCTGACAACATTGTACCAAATAACCAGGTTACTATCTGGGAAGAGACCAATTCAGACGAAACCAGTGAAAGGTAGTGAAGGAAAGCTAGTTGCGAAAGAAGACAAACTTAAGAGCAAGAAGCAGTGGGCTGAATACTTCAAAAAGCTCTTGAATCCACCCCTACCTGCAACTTGTCAAGAAATACCACCAGCGACGGCAGAACTACCGGTGAACACAAGCCCTCCGACAAAAGCAGAAGTGCTGAATGCCATAAAGTTTCTGAAATGCAGGAAAGCAGTAGGACCAGATCAGATGCCACCAGAAGCAGCGAAAGCAGACGCAGAGATAACAACGGGCATGCTCACACCACTACTCCAGAAGGTTTGTAAGGAAGGAAGGAAAGGTACCTGCCCATTGATTGGAAGAAGGGCTACCTTATCAAACTCCCGAAGAAAGGAGACCTAAATCTTTGCAAGGGCTGACGCGGAATCATGCTGCTGTCCACCCAATGCAAAATATCATGCCGCATCATTCCGAAGAGATTAAAAAGCGCTATGGATTCAGAATTGCCACCGGAACAGGCTGGCTGGCTTCAGGGTGAACAAATCATGTGCGGGTTAAATTGCAAGGCTACGTCACGCATCATCTTAGAACAGAGCATAGAAAGTCAGTCAACTCTCTGCCTCAACTCCATCGACTTTGAAAAGGCCTTTGACAGCGTCGACTGTGAAGTAATTTGTCATTTGCTTCAAGACTACGGAGTGCCACAAATCTTTGTCAACCTCATTCAACAGCTAAATGACGACGCCATATGTCAAGTGATCCACAATGGAGAGCTCAGCGACGCCCTTGAAGTTAAGACGGGAGTGAGACAAGGCTGCCTGCTACCACCCATGATCTTGCTGATTGTGGTGCACTGGATCATGCAGCAGACAACTTCGAGGAGCGAGAGAATGAGCATGCTCTGTTTGACCACTGAAAAGAGCCTAGAAGATATTGACTTATGTCTAATGTCGCACAAACTCGAAGATCTACAGACGAAAACTAAGAAGTTGACAGAAGAGGCAGGGCAGGTCAGCGAAAACGGGACTTCAAATGAATGTAGAGAAGACGGAGGTGATGAAGATACCCAACCAACAACAGCATGAATAACAGGAGGCACCTATCACCATGAACGGACGAAACCTAAAGGAAGTAGTCTCTTTCACCTAGCTACCTAGGAGCCAGCATCGTTTCAACTACAGGCGGCACAGGCACAGACGAGGATGTCAAAACCAGGATGAGAAAGACAGCAAGACAGGCCTTCCTTCATTAACCTGAAATCAGTATGTAGAGCTGCTGCAGTATACTCCACTCAGCACAAAGTACAAGATATGGATTTTCAACACCAATCCAGTCAAGTCAGTGCTGCTATGTGGTGGTTCACAAACTTTGTGTGTCACGAAAAGCACTTCCAATAAACTACACACATTCACCAACAGCTGCCTACGCTGGCTGGATACTGAAGATCAGATGGCCAGAGTAATAAGAATAAGCAACAAGGAACTCTCACATGGCAGCGAACCAACGAAGCAAGAACCTAGCACCCAACAAATATGCACTGGAAGAAAGTCGAGATGGATTGGGCATACACTGAGGAGGCCGACTGAGGACATCCCGCGCGAGGTGAGTTCGTCGAGTGGAATCCAAAAGGGAAACGAGGAGTTGGGCGTCCGAGGCGAGGGTGACATGGAGGAGATGATGTGAGGAAGAAATGAAAGCTTGTGGTTAGTGGTGGAGCCAGGTCGAAAAGACTGCAGAGAATAGAATGCAATGGAGACCTGCTACTGAAGCCCTATGTTCCACTAGGAACTGAAGGGAAAAATAAATAATTATAGTAATAATAACTAGTATTCTATCGAAATCCCCTTACAACCCTGACAACACGGTCTACCATAGTCAAAACGCAATACCTTTAGCTGTCGTTATAGCTAGTATTTTTGAAAACACTTATTTAATCAAACAAGCGTTTGTTTATTTGTCTTTGTTGAATTAATGAAATATGCTTCTGCACTAAATTGGCAATGAATGGAAGTGATTAAAAGCAGCCAAAATATGTATATCTAGCTAAGAATATAAGTAGGACCTGAGTTTCTTCTTGTAGTAACTACAACTGTTTGGTACATTCAGTTTTCAACACACCCTCTCCGTTCAGGAATGAGAGATTTCACAAGAAAATTGGAGATGATGACAAATGGATAGTTACTGCGACTAATTATTTGTCCAATATTCCTCAAAATGCCAACGTAAGCTCATGCTTACACAAAAGGTATACACGGTAATTCCTCCTACTAAAACTGCTGAATATACCTTTTCCCGTCAATCAAATTCTAAAAATGCTTAAAAATATTTCATAATGGCCATCAGGCTGGGATCCAGAATGATCAAATCTAACAATAAAGAACATTATTGTTCTTTACATAAAAAACATTTGGAATTTTGTCGAATTGAACGACTAAAATATCACTTTTGGGAGTCACCTACACTGCTTTGTTTGCCCAGAATTTAAAAATGACGCTTTTAATTTCTTGCTACATTACGTTTACACTATTTTATTTAGTCAAAACTGTTCAAAAGGATTTTTCATTCAGTAACTGTAACTGTAACACGGAAATGGTGAATATCAATGGAGTCACAGAAAATCTGCGACGCAGAAGGTGTAAATAGATGCATAAAACTTCTCAATCTCTTATTAACCCAAATGCCTACAAAACTTCTCACTTACTGGGTCCATGAGGAGAAAATCGAAATGCCGCCTTTTGAAGAAGCCTTGTGAACTATAGGGATGTAGCGTGAAAAAACCCTTATGTCATCCAATATATCCAATATTGATAGTGCGAGCGTAGAAAACTGGTAGTTCTTGATCTCTCGCATCTAGTTCTTAGGGCTTGGTTCGAGTTGTTCGGTTCACTCATGCAGTGAACGAGGAAATCCCCTCTGCTTTCTCTCTTTTAGCTTCTGTGAGGTGGATGTTTGTGGGTTAGTAGGTTGTAATTTGTAGAGTGATTAGGGAGCTACGGGTTGCTGGGAAGTTTAGAGAACTGCCGTGACTCCTGTCTGTGTAGGTACCTGAAAGAGAATAGTAAGGTAGTGGTAAAGGAATGAAGAGAGAAGAAGAAAAAATGAAAAAAAGGGAAAAAATAATAATAATATAGGGAAGAGAAAAGGGAAGGAGAAGAAAAAGAGGGGTGAAAAGAGAAATGAGAACGAAAGAAAAGTATTTGGGAATTGCCGAATGGTCGCGTGGGTTTGGTTCCTACAGAAGAATTAGTAGGTAATGTGGGTGTATTAAGGAGAGAGATAGTGAGTGGTAGTTAGGAGGGAGTTGGGGGCATGAGGTTGGTGACTACCTGAGTACGTCCGTGGTAGTCCATGCGAGGTGACATAACTGTCTAATCGCCTCTTGAAAGAGTCGATTGAAGGAGCTATAACGATGTGTCGCGGTAAGGCATTCCATAAAGCACATACTCTCAGGGAGAAAAATTTGGACCTGAGTGTGGTGTTGGCTCTCTGGTGTGCTATCTTAATGGGGTTTCCTCGTGAAGATCGTTCAGTTGCAGGCAAAATTGATTTGTTTGCATGGTCTGCCTGATGGGCGATCTTGTATGCCATAATGAGGTCACCCCTTTTCCTGCGATAACCCAAGGTAAATAGGTTGAGGTGTTTAAGTCTTTCAGGATACGTCTTTCCCCTTAGCCCCACAACTGATTTTGTTGCAGTTCTTTGTATTCTTTCAAGGAGATTAGAGTCTCTCTTGAGTGTTGGAGGAGCCACCGTATTGAAGACCTCTAGGTGCGGCCGCACGTAGGATTTGAAAATGGTGGGGAAGAGTTCGGGAGTGAGGGCGCCAAGCTGTCTACGCAGAAAGTGTAGAATGGCGTTCGCTCTGGTTGTCATACCTTTGTAGTTGGAGCTGGTGTCCAAGGTGTCGGAGAAGTTGAGCCCCAAATCTTTCTCCATGGACACTCTGGTGATAGCACGGTTGCTCAACATGTACTGGAAGTCGGTCGTACTTGCCTCATTTTTACTGATGTGCATTACTTTGCACTTTTCCAGGTTGAAGCTCAGGCCATTTTCCGACGACCAGAGCTCGAGTTGCTGCAAGTCCTTTTGTAGTGCTGCACAGTCGGCTTCGTTTACCACCCTCCAAATTTTTATGTCGTCAGCGAAGAGGAGGATGGGTGAGGATATTTTGTCTGGCAGATCGTTGACAAACAGAAGGAACAGAAGCGGTCCTAGGATTGCTCCTTGGGATACTCCTGACGTCGACGGTCTCCACTCCGACCTTATTCTGTTCACTTTAGTGCAGAACTGCCTCCCTTCCAGGTACTCCTTGAACCAAGAGAGTAGGGGTCCACTTATACCAGCTGACATGATCTTGTGAAGCAGTACTGTGGGTGGGACACTGTCAAATGCTTTGGCTAGGTCGAGAAATACACATGTACAGGTTTTCTATTATCCCAGCTTTGTGTCCAGTCGTCCCAGGCGGTTAGTAAGTTGGTGGCACATGAGCGACCACTACGAAAGCCGTGCTGAGCAGTGTGGACAGTGTTTTCCCATTGAGGAATTCCCAGATGGTGTCAGCTACCAGGCTTTCCAACACTTTCGACACAATAGGGAGTAGGGCAATCGGCCTGTAGCTGCCAGGGTTTTTCTGTCTCCTCCCTTGAAGATGGGTGACAAGATGGCACTCTTCCATTCTTTAGGGAGTTTGCACGAGTCTATTGAGTGCTCAAAGAGGTTGCGAAGTGGTTTGGTAAGCACCTCGGCGCAGTTTTTCAGAACCACTGGTTTCAGGTTATCGCAGCCAGGGGACTTGCCCGGACGTAGCCTAGATAGCTTCTCGAACACCTTTTTCTCTGTAATAGAGACGTGACAGAGGTATTCGTTATTTGCGACCTGGTCGGTGTCGTGCGAGTCGGTGTGGATCTTGTGTCAGTGCTGAGTTGGGCTTGGAAGTGTGAGCTCAAAAGCTCGGCAATCTCTAGACTGCTTAGCACACTCCCGTCATGGCCTGTGACAAGATTCACTCCCTTACTGGTCGACTTTCTTCTTGACATGAAGCGGTACAGGTTTTTGGGGTTGCTTTGTAACCTCGCTGCCAAGTTTGTTTGGTAGGAAAATCTGTCGTTACGCACTCTAATGTTACAGAGATTGCGAATCCTTTTGTAGTTCAAGAAGTCAGACTCCCTGCGTGATGTACGCCACTTGAACCAAGCCTGCTTCTTGCTCCGGATAAGCCTCTCTGTCCCACGCTTTAACCATGAGGTTCTCATTGATTGTCTGTGTGTTACTTCTGGTACACTGTGACTGATGGCCCCAGTGATTATTTTCTTCACCTCCAACCAGTGTTCATCTATTGTGAGATGAGTCCAGTCCACTGGCCATGATGCATTCATGAGGTAGTCCCTCATGGTCTCATAGTTGGCCTTGCTGTAGCAAGGGAAGGTGTTGGGCGTCTCCAGTTGCAGAGCCTCCCTAGTTATCATGGAGAAGGTGATTACAGCGTGGTCACTGAGGCCAAGGGGAGGTTGGATGCAAACATCCTCAATGAGAAGTTCATCGTTCGTCAGAACGTAGTCAAGGCGCGATGCGTTTCCGTTAGGTCCCCAGCGTGTAGCATCACCCACTTTCTCTGAGAGGCCAGCAGTCTTAATTGCATCCTTCAGCTTCTGATTGAAGGATCTGATGCGTCTCCCTTCCGTCTCGAAGAGGATGGACGGGGTGTTGAAGTCGCCGGCAATGACTACGGAATCGTAATTTGCAGAGGAAGTCGTTAAGATAGCCTTGATGATCATTTCCTTATGTGTAGGGGAGCAGGTGGGGGACCGATATATGACTCCGAGCAGGTATTTGGTACTGTGGAGAGTGAAGTAGCACCATAGGGACTCTGGGAGCTGGGTTAAGGCCGTATCGCTAACCATCCTTGCCTTTAAACAGAGTTTACGTAGATAGCCACTCCCCTCCTGCTCTATGTTCCCTGTCCCTGCGGAAGAGTTCCATGCCAGTAACATGCATCTCTTCGTCGGAGATGTCTGGCGAGAGCCAGGATTCGGTGATGAATATGATGTCGGAGTGCTGATGTGCACGCAGCGTCCTCATTTCTGCTACCTTCCCTCTTAGCCCCCTAACGTTGCTGTACATACATATTAGAGTGTGCCTGGTGAGGGGGAGGTCTGGTTGTGTATTTTCGCAGGATGAGCGCTTATGTGGTTGGGTCTACCCTCGCCAGTCCTCATAGGACTGGCATTGTTCCGTTTTTTGTGTTTTGTTATTAACTTGGGTGGGGGCTGTGGCAGTGGTGGCTTCTTTACTTGATGTATCTAACTCACTGGTCAGCGCCTGTGTGACGACCACTGACTCCAGAGGTCTTGGTGGTTGTCGTCTCTCCTCTTGCCTTGTGGGTCTAGGCTTACTTTCACATATACGTATTGAGCCACCCATGCGATCCTTCGCATTATACCATGCCTGTAGAACGTCTGTGAGGGAGGCATATGAGTCGAACTGGACGGCGAGTAGTCTGGGATTGGGTATGGTCTTCAGGTGCGCTGGCCTTGGCAGTCTACTGACGCTGTTGGCCGGTATACTGTTGAGACCAACTTTGGTTGAGAGCCATTGCCATTGTTGGACGTCGTGAAAGTACCGATCTTTGACCGAGCGGTCACTTGGCAATTCTGGAATCCCATGTACAACTATAGTGTTGTTTCTGTTGGGATTTCCAACCGCTGACTTTCTCTCCTCCTCTCTTATTGACCATGGCTTGTCAGGCCTGGCCCGAATTTTACAGGCATTAACAACGTCCGGTTGTCGCGAGAGGAGGAGTGTGTCTTCAGCCTCTTTGGTAGTATTTAGGGACACACGTAAAGGGGGTGGCTTATCTCGGGGTGCACGGCTTCCTCGAGAAAGGCGACACAAAGTTGCAGGGAGGGGAGGGAGTCCCAGCATCTGACAGTAGTCGGTCCACATTCGGCTGTCAAACCGTTCCCTCTCGACCAACAATGAGTCTGTCGATACATCGACGTTGAACAAAATGATCGAGTTGGTCCTCCTGTGACCTGGGTTCGTTGTGGGTGGCACGCCCGACTTCCCAATGGGTTTGAGTAATTCCACTGGTTGTTTCTCAGTCACGGTGTGTGGGTGTTTGGAATGGGTTTCGTAGAGGCTTTAGCGGTCGATGTCTTTGGCCATACGCTTGACGTCCCCTGGGGCCGGGTAGGAGGTATGGAGACTTGACCTAATATGGTCCCCACGCGAGGTGGCGTGCCGGCAGCTGGAGCTCTAGGTCTGTTTCCAGGTCTCTCTGTGTTATCCTTTGGTGTTAACCCTACTTTATTCGAGGGTGCTGGTAGCTTTTGCGTGGCGGAGAGCATCTCCTTCAGGCTTTCTGTGCGGAGTGCGGGCATTTTCCTGCACTCTGGACAGATGTACCAGAACCACTTGCATGGTTGTCTCTTCATCAGCTTATAGTATTGTCGGGGGACTTTGGTGTCGCAGTGGCAATGCGCCCATCGTTGACATAGGTTGCATGCAAATGCCTCATCGACTACCGAAACAACTTTGGTGCAAACACTGCAGCCATCGGGTGTCGTAATACAGCATTCCTTGCATGAATTAGGTGCTACGGATTGTGACGAACTGCCTGTGGCTGCCTTGTGCTGAAGCCTTTTACGTCGTCTTCTATTTCCAGGCATGGTATGATCCTTGCTCAAGATAGGACTAGTTTGTGACGGGCTA